ATGAAAAGAAATATATAAAGAAAATAAATTAATGTACGAAATGTTAATTAATAATTATAAAAAAAAAATCCTCATAGACAAAAATATAAACCCCCAAACCTATATAGAATGGGGAGAGAGGTCCACAAGAGAACATATCAAACTTTAAAGAAAAAAAAAATGATTTAGAAATTAATATGTGAAAAAAAATTCTATAATCGTAGCATTTCAGTGCTATATTATAATTTTTTCGAAGGTTTTCACTTACTAAAACTGTTTTGCCTCTTAAAAATTATTATCTTTTACTTTTATATATTTAAATAAATTTTTAGGTATGTACATTTTTAGCCAGACCATCCAATCTAGATAATACATGCATATATAAGAATATTTGTTTTTTGAAACACGATATCATAATAGTTATTTGGGTTTTTATACAAGGGTATTAGAATTATTGTAATTATCTTTCTGAATAATTATGTTTGAAAGGCTAAAGAATACACATATCAAATAACTATTCAGATACACAATTGGTCTATTTTGATAGTTATATAATATTAAAAACTATATGAGGTTTCTTAAATCACTTTAAGCATAAGATTACAAATCGACCAATTTCCTATCTAATATGGACGGTCTTTTTAATTATTATACGTGTTTTCAAGAGTACAATTCATAATACATATCCATGCACTTTACCTGTATAGTAGGATAGGATCCGCGCCTTGCGTGGAGTAAAAATAAAAATAAATATTTACAATGAAAAACTTTTTATAATGATGTATGATAAAAATATATAAGTATAAAGTGAAGCATTATTACACATGAAATATATCAGTGTAGAAAAATAAAGTCATTTATATGTTAAATACGAATTAACCAGATAAATATTATGTAAATATATAAAAACAAAGACGATTAGGAAACTAATAAACTATCTTCTAGGTATGTATTAATAGCGATAAAATCAATCATAGTGACATGATTGATAATCACAGTAATTACATGAAACATAATTATTACAAACTTTTATATAAAACACACTTAATTACATTTTCACGTTAATACAAATTCAAATTATGTTTGACAATATTTTTGAATTTCATACTACTATAAAAACATTAGAATATATCTATAATACGTGGAATAAAGGTATATTTAAACTGATGATGTATACAACTTTATTACTAAATCATAAATAATATACATTTTCAAGCAACACCAAATTCAACAGCCTTTATTTGTATAACAAACCCCAAAATCAAATAATATTTTAGGAAATTATTTAAAATTAAACATGTTCTATTCTATGAAATATTAACCACACATTCTATTATATACTTTAATAAACAAAAACATGTTTGTGAAGCTTAAAGTAAAAAAAAGTTGGCCAACGGAATATCACTTGTTTGAAAATAATATGTTTTGCTTAGAAAAAATATTTAAACATAATATACTGATGAGAGTAACCCTGAAGAATAAAGTAATAAAAATTAGCCAGAGGAGGATCTGTATTTCAGATTTTCATTAAATATTTTAAAAAATAAAACAAAACCATTAGAGCATCATTAATGGGGGGAAGAGGAATTTGGTTACAACTAAATGTATTAATATCTAGGGGTTTCAATCCAGTAAAACCGAATCAACTAAAATCAAACTGAACAGAAATATAGGAAGTGGTTTGGATTTTATAGAACTGAATAAACCGAATGGATGTTAAATTTAAGAAACCGCAGTATATGGATATGGTTCGGTATATAAACCGATTAATTAAAATATGTTAGATACTTATATGCAAATTTTATAATAAAATAAAAATATATACATGATTATGTATTATTATGATATTTATTGTTAGGGTCAAAATCGGTTACGACGGAATCAACGACCAAAACTCCCCTCAAAGTTCAAAATAAATTTATAAAGACACGAAAAAACATAGAGGAGAATTCCAAAGATTTTCCAAACAAAGGAACTCCATAAACTTATGAGTCGGCATCATGGAAATCACCGGAAAATCCAACTTAGCAAGATCGGCTGTAATGTCCAACTCGCCAAAACGGCAAGGCTGTCCAAGACCATCCAGCTCGCCAAGCCGGCGAGCTGGCCGAGCCAAACCAGCTCGTCGTCTTAGCGAGCTGGACCGTGCCATCCAGCTCACCAATTCAGCAAGCTGGCCGTGCCAAACCAACTCGCCGTCTTGAGCGGGACCGTCCCGTCCAGCTCGCCAAACCAGCGAGCTGGCCATCCCAAACCAGCTCGCCGTCTTGGCGAGCTGAACCATCCCGTCCATCTCGCCAAGCCGGCGAGCTGGATGTCCCTAACTAGCTCGCCGTCTTGGTGAGCTGAACTGTGCCATCCAGCTTGCCAAACCGGCAAGCTGACCGTCCCGAACCAGCTCGCCTTCTTGGCGAGCTGGACCACACCATCCAGGTCACCCGACCGGAGAGCTGACCAAGCCAAACCTCACCGTCCGCATTTCCCGGACACAAGGCATATGTCCCTCGACTCGATCGTACTTTGAACCGTGATCGGAACATCTACTGTTTCGTCTCGATTCGTCTTATCGTTGGAATTTTACGATAAAAACCGCTAAAGACTTGTTTTCTCGTAAAAACTCAAGTAAATTGTATAAACCGGCAACGGTTAAACATAGCACCGGACATTAAAAAAATATACGATTGAATCAAGATGTTTTATAAAAACGGCATCGTATCATGTAACGACCCCGTCTAAATTCATGAAACGGTTAAGGCGCAAAACGGCCCGAACGGTCCTCAAACGCGACAAAGGCCCAATTGCGACTTTAGAAGGAGTCCAACCCAAAGATACGATGACGGTTTGCCCGTTTATGTGCAGGAAGAAGATAAATGTCAAGTTCGGAAAAAAATAAAAATTTTCCAAGGATAAAAATGGAGAATCGGGATAAATGGAAGATTTCCAAAAACACGAATCAAGGCGGAAAAGGAAAGACTAAACCACCTATAACAGGAGTATATAAGCACAAGGTCGAAGCTAAGAAGAGGGACACAAATTTCAGAGATTTCACCACACAGAAAAACTTAGCACTTAGGACAAATAGGCAACTTTTCCAATTTTGTTATCGAGTTGCGTCGCAACTAGGGGTTTAGACTTAGGTTACTAGAACTATAGAACTCGCCGTCAGCTCTTGTGGTCAAGGCTTTACCTCGTTGTACCGCTCTTACGCTAATTTGAAATAAGACATCTCTTTGCTCTCTATTTCGATTTTTTATTCTCTTTCCTCTAATTTTCGTATTTTGATTGCTTGGCGTGTGGTTTAGCAAATATCCGGGACATCTGGGAAATTAGGGTTTTCCCTAAGTTCCTTAATTCAACGAAAATCGACAGTGCGAATTTCGGTTTCCCACATTTATATTTATAGAACTGATTTTATTAAATTTTTAATTTGTTGTAAGTTAAAAATATTCTCATTTTTATCAAATTATATAAACCATATTTTATTTGTAAATATTTGTGCTAAATATAGTTATTTAATACTAGGAAGATATTAATATTTTCTAAGTTTTATTTTTAAATAGTAAAAATGAAAAAAGATATTCTATTTTTAAATTAGAGTACATGATAGATATTTTGTTTTAATAAATCTAATTTCTTGTCATATAAACTAAAACTGATTATAACATGTAAATATAGTTATGGTTTTTGGTACAAAATCGAAACAAAAACTGCTGGTATATAAACTGAACTAAACCAAAATAGATATGGTATTAATATGGTAGCTAATTTTTATAAACCAAAATACAGGAAAAAGCAAAACAAATCGAACCGAATCTTAATCGACATCCGTATTGAACATCGCTTTATCCCCTATATATTTATATATATATATATATATATAAAGATAAATATTTGACATTAATGCGTTCACACTATGTTCAAGATGTGGTAGCCTTACATCAATTTGAGAATGAGTACGTTGACGTGTCACGTTCAGAGTCAAACTTTACATTAATGTATTCACATTATGTACCTCTTTATGTTTTTTTCAATATAAAACGCACATGTATGGTTCCACGGATTATACAAATGCTCCACATAAATAGACAATTTGTAAAAAAATCACTAATGCCTAAACCTATTTTATATTTACTTAATTTTATTTTAAGAATATTATATTGAAAAATGTCTTTTAATGTTAATTAACAGTATATATATCAACCATATTTATATACTTTTACATACACATACATGTGCACATTGTCGTAAGCACCTATATAACTAAATATGCACCATAAGTTAGGATTCTAATTGTCTTAGAAACTGGAATATTCTTGTTTCTTAATTCTTTTCTTTCACCATCGACCAAATTGTAATGAAATTATTTGTTTTAATCTTTTTTTCAAATTTTATCTAGATTTTATGTTATTTTTCATGCATTTAAAAAATATAATATGAAACCATTGGTTAGACATTAGTATTGTCTAAAATTCATATAACATGAAAGCAAATAAATAATAATAGTTTTTGGTTATCACCGGAAAAAACAAAAACCTCAAGCTTTTTAACCGAAAAAACCAAAACAAATATGGAATTAGAATGTTATATTTTAGTAGATTAAGAACCGAAAAACCACCGTAAAACCAAACTAACATCCATACTAAACAGACCTAATGTCTTCTTATCTTAAAAATAACGAAATTAATAATTTCAGGCCATGCAAGGCACGGATTATTGCCTAGTTTCTCTGAAATAGAGGAATAAATAGGAGAATACATTGGGGATGATCTGTGCAACATTCTTCTAGCACAAGTATTAGTTGATAAACAATGTTCTTACAGCACGAGTAGAAGATGGTATAGTTCCTTGCCACATGAGAATTTCGATGCTCCTATAACTAGCTAGAATTAATCTTGATTGGATGGTAAGAAACAGAAACCATCAGGTGAAGACATAGGAGATATAGGTAGTTAGTTGTATTGATTATTTGGGCCATGTGTACGTATATAGACCTAATCTCATTAGAATACACGAGAAGAAGGTCAGATTTTAGGGCTATAGTGGGTATCATTCCATGAACCCCAGCACTTAGCATGGGAGCTCCACTTGGTATTGACATGTGAGGCTTTGTAGCGTTTCCAGTCACGGAGAACAAAAGTGAGATCAAAGACCTTGGCAGAGATGTGGCGGCAGCAGTTGGCGTGGACGGTGGTGACAGCGCCCATGTCAGTGCTATCTTGGCAGAAGCCGCTGAAGTGGGTGGTGTTGAGGAAGCCAACAGTGAGACCGAGCTGGTTGAAGAAACCTGAGTCGAGGAGCTTAATGAGGACGTCTTGTTCCTTCATGCCCGTCGAGTTGAGTCTCATGTCGTACCATTTCTGGAAAAGAGCGATGGTCCTATTGTTGGAACGGACGTAGTAGAAGCCAGTGTTTATCAAGTGTCCTCCTATGCCGCTGTCCACGCTTATCTGCATATCCAGGGTCCTGTTGTTGCTTAGCCGGGAGAAGGGGCTCCTCAGCCACATCACATCAGTGTCCTAAAAATTGATATTAAACAAATGTTCTCAAGTTTTTAATAGCATACTAGGTTAAGATCTGCGTCTTACACAGAATAAATATTATATATAAATTATTTTTACGTATTATTAAAATTCAGTAATTACTTTGAAATAATAAAAAATTCAGTAATAACTACGTATATGATTAAATTAGTGTACACACATAAAAAAAAATTATTAATTCAAACAAACATTTTTTTATGACTCTGGTATTCGGATGCCTCGAGAGGATCCGACTAGCACCTAATGACCGTGTGTGTAATCTGAGCCACTTAGGACCCGCCGGAGTCTGCCGAAGGCATCTAGGAGGACTGGTGATCACCCCATGTAAATCTTACCAGTGACCACATGTTAGCAAGCTTCTGCATATTGAATCCGAAGATCCCTCAAACTAATCACCTCACAGCAGCGCTTGAACCCATAACTTCCCAGGTTGAGTTTTAACTACTAGACACGCGGTTCAAACAAACACTTTTTCTATATTATATGGTATAAAATTAATTTTAAATGATATCAATATAGATATATAGTTTATTTTTATATTGATATATGTTAAATAATACTTTATACTCATATTAGTTTTTGATCATTAGTATTTTATATAACAAAAAAATTGAATAATTGATAACAAATTTATTGTGTAGGATGTTTAATAGTTGTAGTAATTTATAATTTTAAAAAATTCATTTAAAGTTTAAAAACTAAATAATATGTTGTCAATCTTTGTTTAAAATATTTTTTTTTAAAAAAGCAAAGAAAAATTCGAAATTAAAAAACTTATGTATTTTATATGGTACATAATTTATTTTAATTAATATTACTATATATATGTGTATATTTTAAATGAGACTTCCCACTTATATAATTTGGTAATCATTTGTATTTTGTTACAAAAACATTAAACTGTGGATCACAAAAATTTCAATGTGAGATTTTTAACAATTTTAGTCATTTATAATCATTTTTAAATTCAAAATATAACATATAGGGAAAAATTTTAAATTTTATTGTATATTTAATATGTTTGTTTAATTTATTCTAAATAATTCATTTAAAATGATAGAGAAGACAATTTTTAATCAATTTTTATTTAAAATCATTAGTTATCATATATATTTTACTCGCATTAGGTAATTCTGTTATTTTTATATAAAAACAATGAAAAACATTAAATTTTATTTTATGATTTGTTTAAAAAAAAGGTTATTATATATTTAGATAAACCAATATATTTTTCTATAGATTATAAGAATGATTGTGGTGAAGACACATGACTACAAAAAAAATATTGGGGGTGATTGGTTGAACTGTAGATTTAAAAAATTTACTGTAGAATTTAGACTGTAGATGTTTTTGATGTAGTTGTATCTAATGTAGCGGTAGAAATTAAATGAAAAAAAAATATAAAAGGAAAGATATTCTTACAACAATCCTACAGCAATAATTTTTTGCTTTAGAAAATAGGGTTCCTACAACCACTTTATTTTTTGACTTTAGCTTTAAAATCTACTTAAATCATGATTGGTGATTTAAATGGTTGTGGATATAAATTAAAGCTAAAGTCATTACTTACAACCGAACCAATCACCCTCAATTATCTTTTTAATATATAGAGGATAAAGCAATAAAAGGTTTTGAAACCCTAAAGTGCGTTGTGTTTTATATTCTTATATTCCAAAACAGACTACTAACTAACCGTGAAAATAAGATGGTAGCCACGGCGGAGGACGTCTAGGAGCAATCGAGTCCTCCTCCACATCATCTCAATGAAATCGTTTGACATGTATACTTTCTCTCCCTGCAAGTCAACTCCCTCTGTCTCCAACTTGTAGCAGTGTAGCCGCCTGAAGCGACAGCGATCGTATGCCGTCTGATCGGCTGCCACCACCATCAGATGGTCCAGAAGTGGCACAGTACCCTCTCCTTCCCAGAAACTCTCTAGAAACAGATCCAACATCGTCCTCCCTCCTTCAACCTCCTCCACGTACGCTTTGTTCACCATCGTTATTATCACCGTCTTGTTGTTTCCTATAGCCGCACTGTCTAGCGCCGCCTCTAGCTCGTCCACCGGAAACTTTATCGTTCTCTGTTACCACTTCTGAAGTATTAATACATATACGATATATACTTTACATTCCAGTGTATTATGAAACAACTTACCAGAGTGCTACCATTGTGTCTGAGACCGGAGATAGGATCAGATATCAAACGTGAGGAGAAGCAGATATATAGAGCGCCGGCAAAGAGGAGAGCAATGACGACAACGAGATTGCCGGAAGAGTAATTGGAGATAAACATGTGTGTTTTATTATGTGTTAGATTAATTCAAAGAAAACTACACTGCTTTTACATTAGGTGTATATAAACTATATATAGAGCATGGAAATTTTGAAACTTTTATAACTTTTGAGTTTGAAGTTAAGAGGCATGTTTTTAGTTATCGGATTATTAGGAGTAGGTGACTCATGTACCTTATGTGCCCCTTTTATCTCTCTTAACTATATACATACAATAACACTTCTTTTACCCTAAGATTTATAAGTTCGTGAAAATTATCATTTATTTCGATATTAGACATCAATGTATAATACACAATTATCTTCTGCTATCTCTATATAGTATGGAGATTGTGCTAGTACTTGTATCATTAATGACATTATGTAGGTTTGTGCCAGTAATTAAAGAACACACATAAAAGGGAGAACCATCTTTGTTGGTGGATTTATCTGTCATTTTTAGGCTGAAAAACGTGGTGTTTGGGTGTGAATTTGAAAATCTTATATATCTAGATAATAAACTGTTTCGTTTTGCTCAAGTCCACTCAAACTTGTACACTATTATTTTTTTCAGTCCGGTTGTTTCACTTGTGCTGTGATTTCTGATATACTTAATAGTCTTCACTACTCACAGTAGTTGTTTAGTTTGGACAAAAGTACCTCAAAAATTAGATTTGATGTAAGTTTTGAGGTGAACTTGGTTATTTCAGTGTCAAACACGACAACTAAAGAAAAATCAATACCGTCATTGATGCCAAGCTAAGCCGTCGTACCTACAACTACCAGTATTGAAAGGGAGTATTAAGTAATGGAGTCAAATTGGCAAGTAGAATAAGTCTAATGTGGAGTAAAAGTAAGAAGACATTAAGTTTCAAAAATGTAAGAGAGACATTTCTCGCTCTTATTAACGCCTAAATTATCATTAACATCATACAAACCTCCCCTTCTCATGCATATAATGATATTCGAAGTTGATACTAAACAAAGACTTCTCGTAGAGATAAAATAATTATATTTGTTTACCATAAAAGTTATAACATGGATTGTTTGATTAATTTTCATTCAACGTAAGAAACTTTTAAAATTAGGTAATGGAAGCACATCAAGAAGAAAAACAGTTTCAGAAGCACAAATTATATCTTACTCAAAAGCTTTCCGATTATACATATAACTGAAGCCAGACAAAGTTATGAATCATTTTTTTGATACATAATAGAGAGTCTAAATTTTTTTTACCTCACAACACATGTTAAAATATTGAAAAATTTGTTGCATCTTTGACCATTACCTTATTTTTCAAACCTCAGTCTATAAACACTGATTTCAACTATTTTGAAAGTGAAAATAAGAATAAGAAAACAATAAAATGATGAAGGAGGGTATGTGGGATTAACGTCGCTAGAAGATAAATATTTATAAGGTTAATGTAAGTATTGTTGAAACGTCTCTAATGAGAAGTTGGAAGGTTAGTATACGTTTTGAAGTTCAAGATGTATGTTGATGGAGTAATTATGGGAACTGAAGCAACATATGAGTTACCTTTCGTTTAAGAAATGTTTGATATTTCATAATTGGATTTCCCAGGGTGAGCAAAAGATGGTTCAAATCCATACATTATTATGTTTAGCCACTATATTAGTGTTTGGTCAGATTATTTAATTTATTAAGTTTACATATGAATCTTTGGGAAAGTGTATATTTTCTCCGTGAGACTTTTTTATAAAAAAAAATGAATTTGATTATAGTGTGTGTATGTGGTTTTTTTTAAATGATGATAAATTTAGATAATAGTGTGCTGATGTATACACAATCATATAAAATAAAATTAGAAAAAAAATAAAAATTAAAAGTAATAATTCATAACTTAAATCTTTTTATGGCGAGACCCACCAAAATGCTGAAGTGAATAGGCTTAGCATAGAGTAAAAACTCTCCTATAATAATATAGATTTACCATAATAATTCATCAGATATCTATTAACCCTATTTTCATGTGTTTTATTAAAAATTATGTCTTTAGATATTAACTACTCTTATATTTTATTATAATTATATTTTTTCATTTAAAAGAAGAATAAAAATTATATAATGCATTATTTTAACTAATTAACGCCTAGCTCAGTCATTCAATAAACATTTACTATGGTAATTAATAATTCGCTATATTACATAATTAATAGCAGGTTTGGGCATTCGGGGTTCCTATCGAGTTTTGTTTTTTTCCAATTGGGTCTCGGTTTTTTGGGTTTATCAAAATCAGCCCTATTCGGGGTAAATAAAAGTTTGGTTTGGGACCTGTTCGGGTCTGGTTAGTAAATCTTCAATGAACCGGTATAATCCATTGTACTTTCGGATTTGGGTCACAATCAGTTCTTCGTTTTAAAATTATATGATTTGTACCTACTTTGTAGCCATAACATAAGTAAATTCGGTTCTTCGAATATAAAGTATCTGATTTTTACATGTTTTGTAATCAAAACATAAGTAAAATTGAATCAAAAATAAGAAAGGAACATCAAACGTAATCATTCAAAATCAAATGAAAGGTATACATAGTTATTGATAGAAAGAAAACCAAATAAATGAAAGCTTTAAATGAAAACCAAGTTCTTATGAAATGAGAAACATTATTCAATGAAAACAAAACAAAAATCTAAAAACTTCAAGTTTCAATTGCCACCTTCAACCATCAGCTTTCATGTAATAGATGATTATTGTAGATGTTCAATAATAGCTTAAAGTATTTGAATACATATTAGTAGGAATTGAGATCATGTTTGATACAAGTTCTTTTTTAGGACTTTCGAATATTTCGGGTTCTATCGTATATCCATTTAAGTTCGGGTTCGTTTCAAATAATACCCATAACCCAAAATACCATAAAACAAGATATGTTCAGTATTTATATCAGATTCAGATCGGTTCAGATTCATTTATATCGGATCGCGTTTGTTTCATATTTTCAGATTCATTTTATTTGCCCAGTCCTACTATATTTTTTAAAAAAACAATGCATTTTTTAAAAGGAATCAAATATGTTTACAAAATATTTTTGAAATATATACACCCAAGTTACCACATAATATCAAATGTATATTATGTAATTACTCATCATAATAGAAATATTTATCTTTATATCATAATAAATTATTTATCCATATATTATGTGTTTCACTTTTTAACTTGTTTTAACTAAAATATTTTTTATTATACAAACATATAATTTGTGATAAATATGTATTAATAATAAATCTTTTGCGGGTTGTTTCATCAAATTTATTAAATTAATGAGTTAACCAATTTTATTCTTATAAATATAAATTTACATTCATCTAATCAAAGAAAATATTCTATGCATATTTTCATATAAATAATAGGTTGACGCAAATCTAATATGATAATATCTATATTATTAAAAGAGAAGTATCAAATAGAAATAACCCTTAATTTTATTAGTTCTTTACATTAGAATGCCATTGAGATATTTATTGAAACTATATTTACACATGTTTGTCTTTTCCTAATTTAAATAATAGATTTTCTTAGTCAAATCTTAACCAAAATAAATTTCCTAATATATATTTGGTATTAACATATTAAATATTTATTAGTAATAAATAATATGTTATTTTTCTTTAAGAAATTTATTTAATAGAAGTTATAGTTCTAAATATGTTTATATATTTTATGTAATTATAATTTTTTTTTTTTTTAGGGATGCTAAGATTTTGGAATTGGAAAAAATTATGACCATTTTTTAATTTGAATTATTATAACTGTAAAGATTAATTTCAATACAAATAGTCAATCATATTAAAAAATATTTAATATTAATAAATGTTAAAAAGTATGTCACCATTTATACAAACAAATATTTACTCATAGAAAAAAATAAAAATAATGCATCGATCAAACTATAGTTATAGGTGTATACAATGGTGATTCTTGGGAATGTGGCTCTTAACCATCCATATTATATTGAGATTATTTGCTCCAGCACCATAAATCATCTCCTAATTAGCAAAATGCCTATGATTTGACTCCTTCTATTTTAATGACCAAAATACCTTTCTGTCTCTCTCTTCCTACACTACTAGGCATGTCAGCCTACCAATTTCTTTTTTTTTTAACTTTCTCTCTCGCTCTCTCTTTCATCTCCTCTTTTAGTTATTTTTTCTCCTTCATTTCCTCTTTTAATCTTCTATATGTTTCGTTTTTGTTTTCTCTAATTTTGTCTCATCTGTTTTTCTAATTATTTCCATTTGTATGTTTTCTAGTGTCGTTCTGATTTTAGAAAATATTATATCTATATTTAATATATGTGTTAAAGTTACAACAAAAACTTATGTTAACGCATTACAAATAACACTGAGCTTGATATCAAATAAGTATCTTAACATATAGTTTATAAAGTTAACATTTGTGACATGTTAACCAACTTTTGTATCTTGTTTCAAATTTTATATCTTGTTCAAATTTTGTTTACTCACTAACATATTTTGTAGATGTTAACATATGTCTTATCAGTTAACAAATACATGTAACATAATTGCTAACAGAGGTGTTAAGTGTTAACAATTTTGTAGATGATGCGTTAAGTATTATATGTTAATAAATAAATATTGTTAAGCTTTCAATTTGTCTCTCGAAATGAGTAAATTTATCAGGTAACAAAACAATTATCAGTTAACAAATGAGTTAACCGCTAATAATTAATCTAACATTAATATCAAATTTATAACAAATTATAGATTTATGTTGAAATTTTACAATTAATTGTAATTTATGTTTTCAGTTATATCAAATGTTAAATTATTTTATCAATTATAATATTTTTATATTATAAATTTAAAATTTTTATTATTTGATAATATTTTTAGCATTTAAGAAAATCTAGCAACACATGTAGACAACATGTCTCTCTCCTCTCTCCTGACATTTCTCTGTTACCAGCAGAAATTTTTTCAGTTAAAGAAGAGCATTTTGGGCATTTCCAGACATAATTGTATTATTTGGACCATTAATGTCTATCAATGGGCAATCCTCTAATATTGGCCTCAGTTAAGAGTATTACGCTAATTGTCTCTATTATATTTACCAGCGTTCTATCAAACAATAAATAAAATGAGGATATCTTCAATAGAGGCCATCCACTTATTATAGAAAAATTGACCAATCACAAATGAGCTTCCTGACATATCACTAACAAGTAACCGTTTCTTCTTAAATTAATCAATAAATTTGTTCTTCCCCGGTAACTTCCTTTTTGCCTGCAAAACCTGAGTACACAAGTTACAATATCTTTTTTCTCTTCCACCTCCCATTATATCCATCTATTATTGTTCAACTAAAGTGAGTAATCATATAATTACATTTACCTCTTCATTTTCCTCCCTCTCTTTTTTTTTTCTATTTAAACGATTCTGATTTTGTGAAGCATGGTCAACAATTAATTTCTTAAAAAATTATCAAAGATTGAATGAGATCGGCGTTGGAGCAATGTTCGCTAGATACAGATCAGTGCCCCCGCTGATGTTTCAGAAACGCCTCTTTCTTCATTTCTTGACATCAAGTTTCTAAGAAAATTATCGGATGTTAGAGATGTGGATTAAGCTCTCAAGATAGTTACTATCAATTCGGATCCAACTGCGGTGGTTATCAATTATCATGAAGATCAACCATTATTGCTTCACTGGTGGTGGATGCATACGTTGAGATTGATAACGATTATGATGAGACTGATGAAGAAATTGATGATGAGTACAAGGAAGTTGATGAGGACGAGCTAAGGAAGAAGATAAAAGAAGAAGAGCAGAAAAGGTACTGTTTGGTTTAGACAATTTTCTATATGCTTATATTTTAAAACTAAAACCTTGGAATCTAACATTGGTGGTTAATTTTAATTTTTTTTATTGCAGTCATCAGCTGGGCACAAGGATTAACAAACACTTAGTTGAGACTTCAAACCGTAGGATCCCTTTCGTGTTGATCAAATGATCATATAAGGTCTGTTTCTAACCTGAGGTTTTTGAGCATAAATGATCATATAAGGTATGTCTCTAACCAACCCCTAACACAAATAATTAACTTCCCTATCGTACTATACTCCAAAACTAGACATCCTCCATCGTCGTTAACTCTCTGGCTTAGCCGCTTAGGAAATCAAAACGTATTCTATAAAAAAAAGTTCCTTTCGCTGATTACTGTCTTAATGCTTCCAGCGTCTGTCTCTTCTCATAAATACAGTACGGACTCTATTGGTTAGTTCCTACCACTAATCACTACAAGAAAACACGGTATATTCCAACGGAGGTTCTGATATACATAACAGTTGTCAGACAATTTTGACGGTTTTCCGACGGAATTCCGACAAAAACAAAAAAATACACTTTCGTTGCAATGTCGTCGGAATAAACCGACGATTTTCCGACCAAACATAGTTCGTCGAAATATACTGACAAACTTCCGACGACATTCCGATTAATTATATAACCGTTGTATTCTTCGGTATATTCAAACAAATTTCCAATGAACTTTTTGACCGTTGCCGACAAATGCATATGACCGTTTTATATCCATTGAGGTAAGAAAATACCGACGGAATTTCGACGGATATAACCATTATGGCGTTGGAATTCCGTCGGAATGTCGTCGGATTACCGTAAGCAATTTCCTATAAATGCAACATCTCCTCATTCAACTCATTCACTCCTCACTCTCTCTTTACTCTCTCTAAGCACAACAATTCTTGAAAATCATGTCTTCAGAATTTTATTATCGTTCGTGGATGGATAAATCTCATATGGATCTCAACACTAATTTACTTATGGAAGAATACGTTCAAGGGACTGAAGAATTCATGAAGCTTGTTCAACAGCAACCGGATGCAAAAACCGGTATGTTAAGATGTCTCTGCTCTACTTGCAATAATAATAGGATTATAAAAGAATTTGATGTTTGGACTCATTTGTATATAAGGGGGTTTTCACGTAATTATAAAGTTTGGTATCTTCATGGGGAAACTGGTTTTGAATATGGTAGTACTAGCGAACCTCAGCCTGTTACCGAATCTTAGCCTGATACTAGGTTAGAAGAACCTAGAACGGATATAGATTATGGTGTAGGTACTGTACAGATGGTACATGATCATTATAGAGGGGAAGAATAACCAAATCCCGAATCTAGGAGATTTTTTGACATGTTGGATGCAGGAAAACAACCTTTGTATAAAGGTTATAGAGATGGTCATTCACTCTTATCTTCTGCAACTAGATTGATGGGTATCAAGACAGACTATAATTTGGCTGAAGAATGTTTGGATGCGATTACTGATTTTGTCAAAGGTATTTTACCTGAGGATAATCTTGCACCGGTTTCATACTACGAGGTTCAGAAAATTGTTGTGGGTCTTAAACTACCGTACGAAGTGATAGATGTATGTATTGACAACTGCATGATCTACTGGGGAGCGGATAAGGAACATGATCAGTGGTATTTGCCTTTAACAGAAAGATTGAAGAGGTTGTATCAATGTGAGTACACAGCAAAAGCAATGAGATGGCATGCAGAGCATTCCACAAATGGTGAGATTAAACATCCTTCATATGCGAAGGCTTGGAAACATTTCCAGTCAACGTATCCAGAATTTGCGGAAGAGAGAAGAAATGTTTATCTTGGATTATGTACTGATGGTTTCAGCCCATTTGGAAAGAATGGAAGACAGTATTCTCTACGGTCAGTTATTGTAACACCGTACAACTTACTGCCAAGCTTGTGCATGCAATGAGAGTTTTTGTTCCTCTCAATTCTCGTCTCCGGGCCAGAGCATCCTAAGAGATCACTAGATGTGTTTCTCCAACCACTGATACATGAGTTGCAACAACTATGGACGCATGGTTTTGAGACATACGATGTTTTGTGCAAAAAAAAACTTTTATATGCGGAAGTACTTATGTGGACAATAGGTGACTTTCCAGCATATGGTATGTTATTTGGATGGACAACACATGGGAGGCTATCATATCCATATTGTCAAGATGACACAGATGCTTTCCAACTAAAGCACAAAAGGAAAACATGTTGGTTTGACTGTCACAGAAGATTTCTACCACCTTATCATCCATACCATAGGAGTAAGACTTTATTTACGAAGAACAAGCAGTTGAGGGATTTTGGTGCAGATAGGACGCTAGACATAGGTGGACATGAAAACAATCGAGTCGATGCATTTGGAGAGCTACATAACTGGCACAAAAATAATATTTTCTGGGATCTGCCATATTGGAATCATCTATTGCGGCATAATTTAGATGTTGCATATCGAGAAGAATTTTTTTGACAATATGATGAACACAATCCTTAACATCCAAGGTAAAATGAAGGATAAATTGAAGTCATGGTTGGATTTAGTTGATATCTATGATCATTCTGAACTTCACGTTAATGAGAACGGTACGGCCCCTTTTCCCATTTATCGGCTGGATGGTGCTGCAAAAGAAGAGTTCTTTGATTGGATTACAGATATAGTGCGATTTCCAGATGGTTATGGATTAAATTTTCGGAACTGCGTTGATGGAAGCGAAGAAAAGTTTATTGGCTTGAAGAGTCATGATTGTCATATAATTATGCAGCGTCTCCTTCCGTTTGCTTTTTCCGCACTATTGCCACGTAATGTTCATGAAGCAATTGCAGGTATCTTATATTTTACATTTTAATTGATTTTTATATTTAACATTAATTATGCTTATATAAACCTAATACTTCAGAAAATTTTGTCTTTTATCTATGTAAGGATAAGTTGTTTTTTTCTGTGATTTATGCACCATAGCAGTGACTACAGAGGGTATTAGTAATCTGAAGGCAAACATACCAGTCATCATATTAGTATTTCTTATTACATAAATGAAAAAAAATAGTATTCATTTCTAATTATATTTAATATTAATTATGTTTTCTTACTTAAAATTAAATAGTAATATTTACATTTTAAATCAAAGATATTATTAAAATTTAATCTTAGGAATAGATATTCTTAAATATCTATTTAAATATTTTATTTAAAAAATATTAAAATAATTGATTAGATATAGTATATATTTCATAATAATTAAATCAGTTGTAGGAGAATAAATAGGAAATTAAATAAATATAATAGTCTAACATAGAGTATTTGCAAAGTAGATAAATATTACTTGTGTTTTAATAGTATTGTTGATAACTCTATTATTCAAAAGGGGATCTGCGAATAACACTAGGACAGACACTATGACTTCTCACGGATTATTACCCTCGCGGAAACACAATTAACTTCAGCAAACGAAATGTAACTTGCATTTAAAAACTCGTAAAGAATCCTAATAATATAAGTACCTTGTGCTTAAAGAAATTAATTAAAAACAAGGTTTCACTAGTAAACCTCTCCATTAAGCCGTTCCTAACAGGCTGAGGGGGAAAAAAGACAAACACAAACCCCACCGTAACCAGCCTTGATACCGCCGGATTCACCGGCCACCGCTGCACCAACTTTGTCTTCCTCTTTACCGCTACTTCAGCCGCCGTGCAAACTCCATGTAACACAAAGAACCAACTCACCTCCCATGTAGGCTTCTCGCGCATCAGATAGAAGAACATAATCTCGTGAGCCACACCGGAGACAAGGAATGTGGCGAAAATCCCTAAGAGCATATCCCACTCAGAGCTATTAACTCGCCATTTCCCTATGGGGAGGTACACTGGAAGCTTGAGAGTCTCCGAGACCATGAGGTTCCAACGGTGACCCCAGAAGTCATGTAAGGAGGTGGCTAAATATGGTTCATTGAATTGGGCCTCGAGGTCGCATCCAAGAGTGACTGTGACGAGAAATTTTATGAGGGTTAAGGAAATCTCTAGTTCTAAGTATAAATGAAGAGAATAAAGACCCAGTAAAAAAATTGGAGGTAGATATTGTCTGTAATCATACACTTGTAATAATAATGCACTGAGGATAAAAAATTTAACAGTGAAAAACCATTTGTGGAAATGATTATGGTTTTCAAGATTAGTGCTTTTCTGAAGCTTTATTGGGAAGCAAGCAAAGCAGATGAAGTGGAACACATTAGGAGGGACTAGAAAAAGGGGTCCTTTTTCGAACGCAAATAGGATTAGCTTTGCAACTACAAGACCGGAGAGGAAAAACGCTATGGTGAAAGAAAAATGAATAGTGGTTAAAAACATGGGAAGAACAAGAAACAAAGCACACACGCGAAGAACTGAGACTAATCGAATAAAACGTGTTTTGATTTTTGGTGTAAAGTAGTAACAGTATGTTACAGAGATAATTGCAGAAAACCATACAAGGATGAAGATCTTGAGTTCTTCCTCCATGTTTAGATGATATTCCCAATTGAAGAATGAAATGTTCAGAGACAAATATCGCATTAAATAAGTACAATGTTATCATAAAAGAGGTACAGCCACAGTGTGGTGTTTGTTACACATTTATGGAAAAATTAATTGGCAGTTATTTATGAGATTATTTGCTGAGATATCCTTTTAGGACTTATAATTAGGGAAATACACATGATGTGACTTAATCAAATATAATGACCAGAATGTCCTTTTGACTCTCTTTCACCACTCTCTCTCATGACACTCTCTCACCTGACACACTCTCTCTCTTTCATTTGATATCACCTTCAAATTCTCTCATCATCCTTTTTTTTTATCATACTCTCTTCTATTTTTTTTTGTTCTTTTTTATCTGATGAAATATTTTTTATCTTGAGGTTTCAAATTATTATTTGCTATATGTAACATTAACAGATGTATTGTTAATAATATATTTACAGAAAATAATGTGGTGTTAACTGTTAACAAATACATTTATCAGTTGTACTAACAGAGGTATTAACTGTTAACAAATTTTGTAGATGTTACCAAATGTCTTAGCTGTAACAAATACATGTATCATAGTTGTTAACAGAGGTGTTAGTTAACAAGTTTGTAGATGTCAATACTTGCGTTAGGTATTATATGTTAATAAATAAATATTGTCGAAGTTTCAATTTCTCTCTCGAACTGAGTAAATTTATCAGGTAACAAAACATGTATCAGTTAACATATGAGTTAACCGTTTAAAAATAATTTAACATTAATATCGAATTTATAACAAATTGTAGATTTTAGAGATTTTTAAATCTTGCAATCAATTTGTAATTTATGTTTTCAATTATGTTAAATGTTAAATTATTTTATCTATTATAGTTTTTATATTATATTTTTTAAATATTATTATTTGATAATATTTTTAACATTAAAAGAATCTAATAAACATGTGGACAAAAATGAAGTAGGTAGCAATAGGTCTGATTTCTCTGTACAATGTGTTAGCTAAAGAAAGTCATTTTAGGCATTTCCAGGCATAATTGTATGGTTTGGACCATTAATGTCCCATCATGGGCAAATCACTAATATTGGCTTCAATTTTGGGCATTTGCCTAATTCTCTCTTGTTGAGTAGTTAATAGCTCAGATTATCATAGTACTGTTCTATTTTATTCAATAATCAAATGAAAATTAAATGTTGTTTGCTTGATTTGTTAACATATGGAATCATTATCTTCTACTGATTGATCAAAAGATATATCACTATACACTGTGTTGCCCCGTGGACACTAATATATGTTGGAACCAAAATTTTATAAGTCTTTGGGATAGTGAAAATGTTGATTAAATTTGAAGAGAAATGTGGAATTCTTTTGGGATCTATACTATTAAATGTGGAGTTCTGTCATTAGGCTAACTTATAAGGAGAGGAGTGCTCTGAGAATAGTCGGAGAGTGTTAAACATGATTTCAATGTCTCTTTACGTCGAGACAATAATTTTTATATTATATATATGTTTATCTGTTTAGTTCATATATAAAACAATAGATTCATAAAAAATCCGACCATATAAATGGTTGACTACCCTCCACTTTTAGACTCATAAGCCAGGCTTACATCTGAACTTAAGGAAAGATAAGACAATGGCGATAGCATGCACGAAGTTTTGTATTCAGAAGGCCCTTAGCAATTGTAAGAAAGTCTGCAGCAAGAGTCTGCAATCCAATTGGATATAGCATTAGTGTAACAGACAAAGTCAAAAACAAACACAGAAAATGAAAAGTATCAGATTACACTATACATTTATACCTCTACGTCTTCAGTTCTAGATTTTGGTTCTGATGTTTTGCTTTCCACAGATCCTACCGTCAATATTTTTCTCAAGTAACTTCTAGTCATCAGAAATACTGTCTCACGGTAGGACTTCTCAAATTCTAATGTTGCTATCCGAGATACAGCATCAAGAAGATACATATAAGTGGCAATATATGCTAACCTATGTCGGCTTTGGGGATTTTTACGTGACTTGATTTTCAAGTTGGAGGGATTAAACTACATGACATTCTTATTAAACATCGTGTTGTGTATCTACAAATCGTGTTGTTTTTAAGCCTTTCCAAATATGCTGCGTTTGTCTTTGACGGAACAAATAACGGAGGGGTTAAATTTTAAAGAAACTGATTTGAGAGGTTTATTCATCAGATCATTAATTGAGGGGTTTTATACGAAATAAATTTAATTGGGGGGTTTTATTATTTAAAATCCTAAAATAAAAGATCATTCAAAAAGAAAGAAAATAGGTTTATCGAATCAATTTATCAAATTGAAAGATAGGTTTCTATATTTTTTTATCAACTAAGAAGAAATGAAATAGACTTTAGATTTTTTTTTCAAAGTTTTAAAAGAAAAAATAGTTTTTTTAAAAAAAAAATGTGAATAATTTTATTATGTAAAAAAGTTTAATGTTTTAGGTCGAATTTTTTGGATGAAAATAATCATTTATTTTGATGATTTTTTAAAATTGACTTACAGATAATTAAGCCGGCATGTGCGGGGAAAACACCTAGTTTAAAATAAAAGCATTTGTAATCCACTGGTTCATTAGCTTGTTGGGACATTATGTAGAATAAGTGTGAAAGACCATTATGCAAATCACACACATCCGAATGCCACCGTCCGACCAGACTTAGAATTTGGGATTGTGGGATTTTGTGCACAAAAGATATTTATTTTGGAGTAAATTCATACTAAATTTTTTTTTGCAAAATTTCCTAGATAAAACATAACATATTATGTTTAAAATATCTCGATAAATTTAAATGTTTTAGATTATTTGAAGATAATTTTTGGAAAATTCCAGATAATCATCGAAATATTTCGTTTACCTCATCTCGCACAATAAACATAAGTAAACATAAGTATATCCAGAATATTTTTGTCTTTAACACTAACTAGATTTTGACCCGCGCTTTGAAGCGCGGGATAAACTTTTGATGAACATTTTATATAATTGTATTTTGTCTTTATTAAAATAGATTTAAGAATAAAAATCGTAACCTGAAGTATCAATCGAATTCAAACTATTGAAAACTTGATCCGTATCCGATCTGAAATATAAGAAATATTAATATGGTTTTGTTGGGTGGTACAAAACATATCCAAAACCAAAATGTTATTAGTCGAATCCGAACAGATAACCTGAAAACATTAAAAATAAACCAAAAATTCTAAAACAAATTCAAATATAAATATTTGAAATATAAACGTGTACTTCAAATACTAAATGGTATCTAAAAAATATTTAAATTTTAAATAAGTGTCTTAAATATCCAATTATATAAAAATAATTTTTATATGTTTTATTTTTAAAATTAACATTTAAGTTTGGATATATCCAAATCAAACTAATATAACTCGAATCCGTAAGATATATTGTTGCATTATGGATTTTGGGAAGTGATACAAATTAGAAAATAAATTGATGTGTTATCTTAACATGATCCGTACATGTAATATGAGCTTTTTTTATTTGTTCAAAATTTATTTTCTTATAATATTAATTAAATATTTAATTATAATATAAGTTAATTATATGATGTTCAACATGTTCCAAATGTGATAAATGTTTTATTTTTTATGAAATAAGCTGCAAAAATATAATTATAAATCATAATATATAATTCAACATACCATATAAACTAATAATATTAATGCTAACTAAATTTATTATTGTATTTATCAAATTCAAATATATTAATTATATTTAATATTTTAGTTTAGATATTATATTAAAATATAAATTATTCATTATTTTAAAAAAGTTCTTTTAATATTTTATATTAATAAATTGATTGTTATTAATTGATGTTAGTAACAGCATTAATTGTTATTGATACGAATATATAGAGAGATTTAATCAAAAAAAAAAAAAGAGAATGGTGTCGGGCAAGAAAAAATCAAAACATCTAATAGATTAAATTTCTTGCTGTCAATGACTGTCATTAATATTGTAGTCAAATTTTCTTTCTTTGCTAGATATAGAATTAGTTTACGTAATTTTTTTATTCAAAATAATGGATCCGATATTATAGGAATAAAGAAAGAGGAGGTTATAAAATACTAAATCAGTTAATTATTAAGAGGTAGGTCTAGTGGCAATAGAAGTAATATTCCAAGGAGTTATAAGGATAAATAATAAGGATGATTCTGTTTTAATAAATTAGATCATTAGTTTCTCGATCAAGCTTCTTTCCCATAATAAGCGCCTAACCTTTGTGTTACTTCATACTCTTAACGTAATTAAAATGTTCCAACAAAATCTTACTCGTCTATTTAATAAGTCTCGAGAATATTCATAGTGGTTATAATTTGTAAATTATGTTTTGAAATCGTCTCATCACAATTGTATTCTGTGATTCGGAAATCACATAGAACTGTTACACATTATGAATGATTTAATGAGTGAAATATATCAAACCTGACGTGTGAATAAAGTGCGATCAAAGTCAAACTCTCTCTGACTCGGTTCCCCATGCATTCTCGTTGGGCTGCTCATGGCCGGTCTTCCGGTCTGAAACTGCCGTCTACCACCTCCGATGAAGCCCCCCGACCCCATTCCTCCTGACCCACAAGATCCCTCGGCCACCCTCTCCCTAAACCAGTTTCCTCCGCTCTCTCCTAACCAACCTAAACTTCCCCGTTCTAGATCTGGATTTACTCCCAAACCCAAATCTCCTATCCAAACTGCTTCTGTTATCTCTGCTGAAGCTTCTCCACTAAGTCCATCCCCTATACCAGAGGATGGTGCTACTGCAACTGCTGCTCCAAATGGAGCCTCTATCCCAAAAAATCCAACTACTGTTTCCTTGGAGGGAACCACTGTCTTGGTCCAAACTTCTAAAACACCAACTACTGTCTCCCTTCCTGAGACAGACCCCATTGCAGGAAAACTTCCCACTAATCCTTCTGTTTCTGAACCTAGTGCTCCGAACATTAGTGACC